AAAACAAAAATGCAAACATGAAACAAGCACGCTGTGTTATCTTAACCATAGTCACTTGAAATAATTAGTTAGACAAACAGTAATGTGCTTGTTTCAGCGTAGATATGAGAATGTATTGTTTTAGATGTTATTGGAAAATTTACAAAGCTTTAGGTTTTGATTCTTTCTATACCCTCTAAAATCTTTTCACTCTTTCTTCCTCTTTTTTTTTTATTTTTTATTTTTTATAAAGTATATGGGAAGCCAGTTCTCCCGCCCAGCTCCACACCCCCCTCGCCTCTGCCTTTCGCCCAGGCAGGAGGCGCCTTCCCCCTGCTCCAAGGCCATCCCAGCGGTGAGGACACTTTGGACGGAGAGTTTGATGATCATGACTTCTTCCAGCACCCAGAACCCTTAGCTCCTCCTCCCAGTGTGGAGAACATCCCGCGACCGCTCAGCCCTACCAAGCTAACGCCCATGGTACACTCCCCACTGCGCTACCAAAGTGACGCTGACCTCGAGGTGCTCCGCAAAAAGCTAGCCAACGCTCCCAGACCGCTCAAGAAGCGCAGCTCCATCACAGAGCCAGAGGGCCCCAGCGGACCCAACATCCAGAAACTTCTGTACCAGAGATTTAATACGCTCGCAGGAGGCATAGAAGGAAACGGAGTCAGCGGGTCAGCAGGTGGTAACGGTGCAGGTAATGGAACGCCTTTTTATCAGCCGAGTCATCCTCCTGGTTATGTGGGCGGAGACTCTGTGGCTGACACAGACAACGGCAACCTCCCCTCTGAGATGCAACTACCGCCGCCGCCAGGGGAAGAGGAGCTGGGCTCTGATGATCAGACTCCTTCAATCGATGCAAATGACAACGAGCCGCCGCCCTCGCCACACGAAGGGCTGAGGGATGCGGATGAAGAAGAGGCACCGGAGGACGACAACAACAACAACATGGGGAGCTCTGAAGCGTTGCTGCCCAGCCCTGTGCTGGAGGTCACGACTCCAGAAGAGAGCGGCATGGCGGGCTCACAGCACCTGGTGACAGACGCACTTACACTGACTACTTATTCCATTCAAAGAGTTTCCTTTGTTACAAGATCTAACTCAGACTTCCCCTCTTTTACCTCACAGGAGAAACGCACAAACCTAAAGAAACCAAACTCTGAGCGCACCGGCCACGGCTTCAGGGTGAAATTCAACCCTCTGGCCCTTCTACTTGATGCCTCTTTAGAGGGAGAGTTTGACCTCGTCCAGAGGATCATCTATGAGGTACAATGCCACTGTGCATACATTTTGATTTATTTGTACTTGCACGTAGGACAACAACTTATCCTTTCTTCTGCGTCCTTTTTTTCCCAACCAGGTGGAGAATCCCAGCACCCCTAATGACGAGGGTATTACACCCCTGCACAACGCAGTGTGTGCAGGACATCACCATATAGTCAAGTTCCTGCTGGACTTTGGTGTGAACGTCAATGCTGCAGACAGTGACGGATGGTGAGTAGCAATGACCACACATTGAAATCAGTGTCATTCAGTTTGATTCAACATGACCGGCTGTCATCATTTGACATTTGTCCATTGTTTTCTTGTTCTTTCATTCTTACACAGGACTCCGCTTCACTGTGCCGCCTCCTGCAACAGTGTTCACCTCTGCAAGTTGTTGGTCGAGTCAGGGGCCGCCATCTTTGCCAGCACCATCAGTGACGTGGAGACTGCTGCAGATAAGTGCGAGGAAATGGAAGAGGGCTACATCCAGTGTTCCCAGTTTCTATATGGTGAGAAACAACCCCACCAGTCAGGCTAGCTTCCACAAATGTGTTTCTGAAATTCACTTTCAAGCAACCGATTCAGACTTGGAAAAACACTTTTGCTTTTACACGTTTTGATTGCTTTATCTGGTTTGTGCTCAGTACATGGTCATTTAGATTTTCTGTGTTTTGGCTCATGTTGTGCAGGTGTTCAGGAAAAGCTGGGTGTAATGAACAAGGGCACCGTGTATGCTCTGTGGGATTATAAAGCTCAGAATTCAGATGAGTTGCCCTTCAGCGAGGGGGACGCCATTACTATTCTGAGACGACAGGACGACAGTGAAACGGAGTGGTGGTGGGCGCGACTCGAGGACAACGATGGCTACGTGCCCCGCAACCTGCTGGGGGTAACAACAAATTAAATCATTTCTTACATTTGTAGTCTTATACAAGTCGACATTAGTCATAGGCAGATGTTACACTGATTTTTTTTAGATGTCATTGTTGTTTTTTCTTTGTAAGATCTCTGAATATTCTTCTAACTTATCAATAACCGTCATTAACTATGGTTGATTGTCCATCAGCCCTTTCAGAGTGCGATTACTCAACAGTGTTGTAACAAAGCTCCACCATCATTACATCTTTGTACATCCATAGTGATTTCACAACAGCCTAATATTAGTGTCCCAGTCTATGAATTCACAGTGCCTCACAGTGTTGGGGAAGCACGACATGAAGAGAATAAGCGGCTGCTCCACATATACACACAGCACTGTTCTCCCCCGCTGGCTCCGCCAATCCCGTCTTGCACCTGTGAAGCCTCTGTTACTTTGAAGGCAGTACAGGGGGGGGGGGGGGGGGATACTTTGCCCCCCCCCATTACCCCTCCATGACATTTATAGTGAAGGTGAAATTTCATAGGTGCAAAAACTAGGGCTGTTGTTCCACGGGTTTAGTATAATACATACATGCAACGTTGAGGTAAATCTTTCACAAAGTAACAAACATTAGCAACTGAAATCAGTCATGTTAAAAACTCTCCTCTTCTTTTTTTTTTCTTTTGCAGCTGTATCCGAGGATCAAGCCTCGCCAGCGGTCCCTGGCATAGTGTGTCACTCTGCTGGCCTCTGGCTTTCAGTTGAACTAGAAACAAAATAAAGAGCAAAGAACAAAAGGAGCCTGGTGCTCAGTCTTCTCCCCAATGGCCATGACGTCCCCTCCTCTCCCGTGCCCTGCCCCTGTGCTTCTCACACAAATCCTTTTCTCTCTGAAGCACTGAACTCTGATACACATAATTACATCTCCACACACGCACACACACACACACACACACACACACAAGAAAACACAAGCACTCCAAATGCGAAAAAAACCTCTTGAACTATACTCCATTTTAACACCCCTCCCCCCCTTCTTCTAACACACCTTTTAACCTCTTTCAGTGTCATTGTCCTAAGTTTATTTGACCCTTATTAAGTGTGAGCTCTGTATCAGACATCAACTTGAAGAATAAAACACTAACCCTTGACTCAGTATTTCTTGCAGTGTTCACACTTCTTCAGTATCTTCCTAACGAGTTCTTTGTCGGCACTGGTTTTAATATCCCTTTATGGTGACTGATGAAATCATCTCAGAGGGTGAGAAGCTTCTTCTTTTTCTCACTTGATATGTTATTACAGTTATAGGACATTATTTGTTTTTTTTTGTAGTACGCCTTTTTAATTCACTAATGCAGGAAGTTGACGCTCTGTGTCTGATTTTGCTTGTAGTCTTACCACCAAAGAGGAATAGAGATTTAACACTTCTAATTCTAACACTCCCAGCGAGCTTGCACTACCGTGTAGCATGGAGAGAAAGATAATCGAAAGAGCTGCGATCAAAGACGATGAACAACTCCCGGGAACTGATCTTAAAAAAAAAAAAAAAAAAAGTCCTTCTAGATATTTTCATGACTTAGGGAGGACTATTTCAGGTTGGGAGGAAGATGGGAGACATTTCCTCAGTATTATCTACACAGGCCAGTCAGAACAAATCCAACAAAGATCCAACTTTTAAAAGTCCACGACCGTATTTTCAGTGAGGCCTCAGGCGATAAATCTGGTTCATCAAGCTGTTTTGAGATTATTTCGAGCACTCTTCATTATTCCTGAAATGAACAGCGCTTATGCTGCAGTCCAAAAGATGCCGTCATGGAAATGGGTAACGAGCAGTACTTTTTGCTTTACCAAAAAAGAAAGCGTTGCCAAATTCAGATGGGGATTGTGTTCTACAGAGAACTGCAGAAAGTTGACATTGGAAACGGTGATGTGAGGTCAACAAAAAGAAAGCTCTCAGTTCTCGATGGTGTGATCAATTTGTATATTTTCTTTATTATCGACTAACTCTCCTTTTCAACATGTATATTTTAATTATTCAAGGCATTTATAATAACCATACTTCAGAGGTGTATTATTTTTTACTGAGGTCACTATTCAAGTTTTTTTTCTTTCGTTTTAATGAATCTTGTGAACATGGCAAGAAGACCTACAAGCAGTATCTCTGAATGAAATGGTAAACTCATACACGAGAGTTGAACATCTGAATAACTTCCCCCCCGATTGCTCCACAGTAGGTTTCTGGTCAACTTATGTTGCAGTTTTTTTTTCCCCAGTGGCCGTAAAATGGAAGCGAACACTGAAATGCAGAATCTCAGGACCAACATGGTGCTGCTACACTCTCGAAACCAGTGATCATATTTCTATTTCTCCCTCTGTATCGACATCGCATTCATTTGGGAATTGAACCAAGCAAAAATATACGGCCCGGAACTTTCAAAATAAAGCCATCAGCACGTTTAAATTGAAGGTTGAATTCTTGGGTTAGCTAATCTGAAATACAAATGTTTCAGATTAGCTTCAGACAATCTTGAATATGTCCCCGTTCTTTTCCTTCACGTATGCCCCACACCAGAAACATTGATACATGTGTTATCTGTCACATCGTTTAACATTAGAGACCCTTATCTTATTCTGAACCTTGAGTGATTGAGTGTAATGCCAAGTGTGCTTGTGGCCGGGCTTTATCTTGGCTTCACCTGTACATAGAGTGAGGAGATATGGATTGTGTCTGTTTGCTGTACGGACAAGTGCGCTTTCTGTATAAACGCTGTATTCACACATTCAATTCTGTAAATGTGATCAATAAAACTGAGGCTCTGGCATGATGAATGACTTGCAGTGTTATGATTCAAACAATAGCGAAACCTGCTAAGGGTTCAAGTATGGACAGGACTACACCTGAAACTTGCTGTTTATTTATATATTTTATTCAGTAAAAGGACCGGTCAGTCCATGCTTTAATGTTTTCAGGAAAGGAACTGATGTCACGGTCCTGACATCAAACCTAATTAGAGGCTCATCAACGTTTAGTGATCGAACTTGACAAAAAAAAGGGAGGTAAAAGCAAAAGAAAACGGCAAACACCTAAAACTACCTCTGTGAAGTCTGTTAACCAAAGATTTCAAACAGGAAAATAACGTTTCAGTCGCGTTTAAGATCAGATGAGCTCTTCCTGCAGTGCATCATAAAATTGTAAATACAACAACCAAAGGATTAGTTTCTAACAATTGAAATGTACATTTCACATCTGGAAAGTAAAAAAAAAAAAACATTTTTTAAAAGTTAATATTGACTTAATTTATTCTGAAATGTGATTAAAAAAAGATCTCATTAGTTTTTAAAATTAGTATTAAACATAACATCATATGAAGTGACAATCCAGCCCCAGTTTATCTCCAAGACATCAAAGGTATGAGCAGCGTTTCATTTGATCATCAATACTTAACAAACAAGAAAACATGAATGTGTAAACAAACAAGAAAACATGAATGTGTAAACATGAATGTGTAAACATGAATGTGTAAACAAACAAGAAAACATGAATGTGCAAAGTGTAATTCTCCTTCCTGACAAAGACTGACTTGATAAGGTAAACGAGGATGATTCAGTGATTTCTTTTATATCTTCAAACTGCATGAAGATGTGTTATCAGTCTTCATATGTAATCTCAAAAGTAGTCATTCTCCCCTCACTGATGGTCCAACTACACAACATGTCTTTTGACACGAGCAGTCTGCTTTAGAGGTCGAGTTTTTACAGCTTCAAACTAAAAAAACAAATATTTAAAAAAAACTCTTCACCACTTTTCTACACCACTAACTCATGGAGGGAGCACACACATCAAAGAGAAATAAAATATAGATGATAAATTGGACGGAAAGCCGATCCAAGATTGCACTCAGTAAGGCACAGTGACAATAAATTACTTAATTAAAGAAGACACCTTTGGACTGTTTGTTTTATGGAATCAATTGACCCTGCCCCGATTCTTCAGCTGAGTTAGCACTTTGTCTACCTGAAACGCAAAAAGAACACAAGACTTAGGAAGCAACAGTATTCAGGCTTAAAACAGTCAAGTTTGAAAGGAATTGAAAAACAATCAAACATAAATTGCTTTTGTACCACATGAACAAAAGACACACAGGACAGAACATGGAAGAGAGAATGTAGCTTAAGTCTTTGTACACAGACGCAGAGTGTGACATTAGACGATGACCTCTTTTTCAAATTAAAGGGATCCATTGTTATCACTGATTAAAGAGTTAATATCCAATTTTATTCATAAATTCAGTCAGATTTCAAAATAAAATAAAAACATTTCCACTCTATATTTACTCAAGTAGTTTTTTTTTTTAACAACTACATGTATTTGATTAAATTTGAGGGAGCTTTGAATTTGTGTGATTAATGACGCAAAACTGTATAAAATATCTCGACGAGTCTATTCAAATTTAAATTGAAAAGCTAAAAAAAAAATGTAAATTTTTGTGTAACATGTTTGTGTTTTCTCTCTTGGTATTGTTTTCCACAATTTCCCAGTTTGGGATCAATAAAGTAATTATATTCTATTGAATGCTAAATTGATTGTATAACTTAAAGAGTAATTCAATAGTACTAATAGTAATACTACCACTACTCCCACTAAAAATCCTAATAAGGAGAAGCCATCCGTTGTGACTCACTGTGATGAACCAGTGAGACTGTGGGCCGTAGTGAAGTTGGGACTTGAAGTTCATCTTACTAGCTGGAGCCAGAGTGTGGAGGTGAAGGTGAGGAACAGAGGAGAATGGAGGCACATGAAACCCCATCCTGCAAAGTTTCAATGAGAAGGAAACAAACCAAACTGAGCAAAGACACTAATCAAAACGCAGAAACGCAACATGACTCATGAGGCAAAGCATCACAGAAAACACTGATGACTCACTGTACCTGACATCATCCAGGTCGCTGACTTTGTTCTTCTCCAGCGTACGCCATCCCATTTGAACCATACGCTCCACTGTTCATGAACAAACAGCTCACATCAGTACGGTGCAAATAAATGTATCCATCAAGGTAACAAGAGGTACAAATCTTTACTGGAGTAAAAGAACTAAAACCTTGAAAATTATCTTGAAAATACTCAACTGCCCTACCAAGATAAAAGTATGTGTATCATCAGTATAAGAAAACATTAAAAGTAAAGTACTCATAAAAAAATCATCCTGTGTTCAATTCTTTTCTGACAGTGTTTTTTATATCATTATGCATACGTTGCATTTTACTGCTGCAGATGTTTAAAGATGACCTATTTTTTAACGATCTTCATGCTGTAAGGCAGGGACGGGCAACTTTGGTCACAGCAAGGGGCCACATTCATTTAATTCTCACTGCCAGGGGGGCCAAATTGTAGGATACAAAAAACAATTACAGTCAATTATGTCTCAAATTTAACTCAACATATACCAGTGATCAAATATTATCATGGACATATTTCTGTTTTTTTTTTTTAATGATTTCATGGCAGATTTTGTCATGTTTTCTTCATGTTTCCAATTATGATGGGTTGCCCACCCCTGCTGTAAGGTATTCTAATACAGACATTGAATATATTGTAGCATTACAATCCTATGAAATCTTAGTATCTCTAAGAAGTTAATTCATCATGATCTCATATTAAAGCCCATTATAAGCTCTGTGACAACAATGCAGTGTTTAGTAATCACTTCCTAAACAACGTGACACTCTGTTTTTTTTCCATAATCAATCAGACAGCTGACTCGTCTTTCTAGAACTACAGACAGAAATCGTTCCTATGAGTCAAACAGGTAAAAAACCTCACCTAGAGGTATGTCCACAGCCTGAAGAGCTTTACAAGAGGAGATGTGTGTCCTGGGAATAACGAGGTAATGATGTGCGGCGCCGGGCTTCATGTCGCGAAAACACAGCAGCTCATCGTCCTGTAATGTCACAGACAGACAGATGAGGAAGACAGAGAGAGAGAGAGAGAGAGAGAGAGAGAGAGAGAGAGAGAGAGAGGGAGTCAGGGAATTCCCAGTGTTTTTTTTCCCAGTTTTTAAACAGTACTTACACTGAGCAGGATTTCCGTGTCAGACTTGTTGTTCGCTATTTCGCAAAAGGGACAGTCTTCACCCCCAGAGGCCTCCTCAGTCTCCATCTTCGTTTAAAACGCGTATCTTCAGGTGAACTACTTGAATATGCTCACTGTAGAGTGTAAAGTCGTCGATCCTTTATGGGCGTGTCCGCGGTACGGAACCAGGAAAACTAGTCGGTGACAGGGCTCATCGAGTCATCCCAAAGCTGCGTTCACTGGAACTTCGGAAATAACCACACCAATTTCAGGTTGTTTTAAATATTACCTGTGAAGTAAAAAAAAACAAAAAAAAAAAACCCTGCTGTTATCAGTAGTTAATGATGACTATCATGCGAATAAACATACACAGAAATCTGATGTGGTTAATTTAAAAATCAGTTTAAAAAAAAGTTTTCATCTTTTTTCAAGTTAACTTCAGACCGATGCCGAAGTACTTTTTGTTGTTAAAAGCTCGGCGCAATCTGTATGGTCCCTGAATACACCATTCATGAGAGCGGTGAAGGGATCAACCTGTTTAAAGTATAGTAAAGGGGCGTGGCCATAAAGACGTAGTCACTTTGAGTGACAGGTGATGTTAAGTCACTTATTTGACCCCTCTTCAAACGTTGAAACAAGGGAAACATGTTAAACTCTCAAATCAACCCCTTAAAGCTCAATATTTAATAAGAAGGCGTTCCCTAACCTCCATATTATAAATTGCTATTGTTCTTGGATGTTTAGAATAAAAAAAATAAAAAAAAGCATATAAAGATTTGTGAAACGTGGTGTGAAGTGTTGTCAGTTTTCGAGTTAGGCCTTCTGCCTGCTGGCTTCAACTTGATATTTGTATGGACATACATAAGAATGTTTTTTTATGCACACAAAAAACACAGGAATCATTCTGCATAAAAATAATTTAATCTTAAATATCTTTTGCCCTGAGCAGCTCCTTCAGCAGCAGACTGAGACACCCACCTGCAAGACAGAGCGCTACCGCAGGTCGTTCATCCCATCTGCCGTCAGACTGTTTAATCAGACTCTTTAACAACAGCTCCACCTCATGCTACAAGTTACTGGGTAATTTTACATTATTGTATTTTTTTTACATTATTGTATTTTTTTATTTAAATGATGTAAATATGTTTGATCTGTTTTTAACTTCTATTTTGATTTTTTATAAGTATATTCCCGTCCCCTGTTTTCTGGAGCTGCTGTAATGCACAAATTTCCCCCACAGGGGATCAATAAAGTTTATCTTTATCTTTATCTTTATCTTTAAAACATTTTCACTTGCCTGCTTTCAGACAATATTGTCATCTTGTTACACTCCAGCACATTTCACAGATGAGCGCCAATGCAGTTTATACACAGAGCATTGTGTTCAATCAGTCAGACAAACTGTTTTTTTTTTTACATTGCTAACCATAATAATATAATTCATTTCATACTTTGTCTATGTAAGCAAAACATTCATACACACAAGATCCAACATATTCATCCACATTGTTTAAATATGCGTTCACTCTAAATTCCGTGCATGTCTTGAACACAACACTACATTATTGTGCTTCCGTACATTATTCAGTTTCAGCACCATCTCCACGTGGCTCCATTCAACATGGAGTATCCTGGACCATTGCCTGGTGAAGCTTTATCGTTTAGACACTTTCTTAGAAACTCCACCTGCAGAGAAAAAGACTAATGTAGATACAAGAAGAAACAGGTTACGTCATATTTTCAGGAGAGGAAAGTCATCGGAACTCACTGTCAAAAAATTGTAGGTTCCTGGGATGAATTTATACTCCTCGAACTTTGAGATCTGGCTGATGGGTGCGAGCACGTGGAGGTGGAGGTGATCGACTGACGTGTAGGGAGGTTGGTGAAACCCTATCCTGTGGGGGAAAAAAAAACACACACCAAAGAGGATTTTAACACCAAAGTACCAAAGATGATTGTAACACTTAAAGGTGCACTATGGAGTTTTGGTGGTCAAATTTGAAAGTTGGAGAAGTGAAACACTTCTATGCTATATTTTCTGAACTAAATACACAAAATGGATTCAAATGAAAAAAATGGGTCCTGGGAACACTGTTTGGAGCTAAAAGGCTACCAGGAGAGTTAAAGTTTCACTGTTGCGGACCCCCCCACCATAACGTCTCGTGTATCATTTTATCTTCAAACAGTGTTACAGGGACCAAAATGTCCTCTGAGAACAGTTTGTGTTTAGAGTTACGAACATATACCACAGAATATGTACACTTCTCCAACTTTCACATTGCTCTATCAAAACTCCATAGTGCACCTTTAAGTGAAAAATACAACTTTTGATTTTTGACAGACTCCTATTCAATTTAATCTACAAAGCTTAAAGTGCATCATATATTTCTAGACATGTTCCAGTACTATTTTTAACTTGTACCCCACAGATACTGGTACCCTAAAATAAGGCTTTAGCTTTTGGTTAATAGAAACACACACACACCTCCTGTCTGAACCAACCTCATGTCGTTCGGATCTGTGATCCCTTGATCTCGTAGCACTGCTTTCCCCATCTCAGCCATACGTTTAACTGTTGGAGACAAGCAACATAATTACTCCATAAAGACCCGATTGGATACATTTAAAATGCATGCACTTGAAGGCATCATGAGGAGACTTCATTAGTATGACACTATTGAACAGTATTTTCAGTACATATACTCAGTCATTTGTACTGATCCTCTTCCACTGACCGAGGCCGACGTGTCCCTTGTTCAGGGAGTGACAGCTGGTGATGTGCTGCATGGGTACAACCAGGTAATGGTGAGGAGCAGCAGGGTAAATATCTGTGAAACACACCAGCTCCTTGTTCTGATGGAGAGGATGAAGTGTCAAAATGAAAACACACAAAATTACCTAAAGGACAGTGAAGGCAGCAATTATTTGAAATCCTATGCATTCAATCTGTCAACCTGGTGCTTTAAAAAAAAGTGAGTATACTGGTAATGTTGACAAGTTAAATTCCTTGTATGTGTAAATTTACGAGATAAAAAAAAAAAAGAAATCTGATTTTGATTTAGGTGTAACATGTTCATTTCACTTCTTCCTAATCACCGAACAGAAAAGAGATCTGAAAGAAAGAAAAGTCCTGTCATCAATACCTGACTGATAATTCGACTTTTTAAAAGCAACACTGTCGTGATTAATCTATTTTATTATAGGTTTTTACCTGTAAATCACGATTAAACTTAATTTATTATCACATCTTTAAAATGTACTTTTTACTTTCTGTCATAGAGAAGCTTTTTTGAGGAAGGGAGGACCAAAACTCAGACAGCCAGGCTAGAGAATATCTTTAAAAAGCTTTATAGACATCATAAGCCTTTTGATGGCAGGCAAGCAAGACTGTCTTGGGAGGAGGTACAGGTAGAGGTACAGGTAGAGGTACAGGTAGAGGTAGAGGTACAGGTAGAGGTAGAGGTACAGGTAGAGGTACAGGTAGAGGTACAGGTAGAGGTACAGGTACAGGTAGAGGTAGAGGTACAGGTACAGGTAGAGGTAGAGGTAGAGGTACAGGTAGAGGTAGAGGTACAGGTAGAGGTACAGGTAGAGGTACAGGTACAGGTAGAGGTAGAGGTAGAGGTACAGGTACAGGTACAGGTAGAGGTAGAGGTACAGGTAGAGGTACAGGTACAGGTAGAGGTAGAGGTAGAGGTACAGGTACAGGTAGAGGTAGAGGTAGAGGTACAGGTAGAGGTAGAGGTAGAGGTACAGGTACAGGTAGAGGTACAGGTAGAGGTACAGGTAGAGGTACAGGTACAGGTACAGGTACAGGTAGAGGTACAGGTAGAGGTAGAGGTACAGGTACAGGTAGAGGTAGAGGTAGAGGTACAGGTAGAGGTAGAGGTACAGGTACAGGTAGAGGTACAGGTACAGGTACAGGTAGAGGTAGAGGTAGAGGTAGAGGTACAGGTACAGGTACAGGTACAGGTAGAGGTAGAGGTAGAGGTACAGGTACAGGTACAGGTACAGGTAGAGGCTCGAAGGAGCAGGATACAATTCAGACGGATTAGGGACAATACTCGATTGTTGTTACAAATCAAATGTATTGTTTAAGTGACATAATATATCCCAATCATCCCAACTATGATCCAAGTCTCACAAACCAGGAGTATCCACTTAGATTATGCTTCCTTACACCTGTTTTATCCACACATAATTCATCAATGTGCTGTTGGCTATATCTTCCCATCGTGATTACATGAAGCCAACTTTACTTTCAGTTTCTCAGTGTGTCTTTGTTCAAAGAGCTCCTACCTTTTTAAGGACATTCGCTTCTTTGTCTTGACCGGTGGCTATTAAACAGAAAATACAAGCTTCACTTGATTCTTCGGGTGTGTCCCTCGACATATTTCCAATAATTGTTTTAGACCGTCTGGCAGAAGTGTACCTCCCACACTCTCTGTTGACGTCTCTGCGCGTCCAGTAAATGCAGCCTCCTACAACAGGTCGGGAACTTTCCAAAGATCGTCTATGTTGGTAAAGACAGCCCACTCCGCGATACAATAAATGAATTGTCTTCCCCGAACCTAAAACTGTAGGGAAGTGATGGTAGCTAAATTAGCATCTTAAACAACATTTTCAAATGAAAGTTAAAACATTTCAATGATTTAGTTCACTGTAATTAATTGAAAACGGCTTATTTTAATTTATTGTAAGTTTTATTGTAAGTTTCCAGAGCTCTATTTATTCAATTAGTGATCTGTCAGTTTTTTAAATATCCTCTCTTACATTATGGTGTCCTACTCTAACTTGATTACAGTAACTAACTATATAAGAGGACAAGAATGAACCATTTTCCCCCAAATAAGAAATGGTTGCATTACTATAAATACAAAATAATAACAAAAAAACTTTATTTGTCCTCAGTGGCAATTAAATTCACTATGTTGACAATAAGTCCCACTTAATGGCAGAACAGTCAAAGGAGGACACAGAAACCAGATTTCTTTTAATGTGTATGCATATATTCAACATTTATTTAAGTTTAAATGTGGTTGCAATAACAACACAATAAATAGATCCTTAGTGATATCACAGACCAGCAGTTTGGATTTCACATGAAATAATACTCAGGAAGCATTCACAGTTACAACACTGAACAGCTACAGACAACACAGCTCATTTTAACAAGAAGCGGTAGTGAATAGATTAATATGTCAGGGTTCATGACAGTGGTGTGATACATTTGAAGTATTGCACATTCATGCACTACAAGCCTGTGTCTGATTCACATGGCATACATGAACACTTCTTCTCGATGTTAGTAGATCTGAATTTAGAGTTAGTGGTACGCCAAAGTGCAAAAACAGATCATCCCTTTTCCTCCCATTTGTATGTGAAACAGAGGCCGACCTTTTGCCTCCTGTAGTGGTGATGAAACGACATTCGAGAACATTTTTACATTTAAGAAATGTTTGATTACTCAGATCACTGCACAGCGTTGAGGGTCGGTTAATCCTGTAGTGCAAAGCGACTTCATGTCTCACTTTAACTGGCTTTGATTCTGAACTACAAACACAAATTAAATTTAAAGGCATCAATTTGCTGAACAGTTATTTCTAGTGCTTGTTGGGTCAAATCAGAACAGAAACATTTAATCAAAATTATCATTATTATTATTAACACAACATTTCAGTCAAAGTACAACTATTAAAAAAAAACAAAAACAAATGAAACTGAGAGTTCTTTGCAAAAACAATGTAAAAATAAAAGTTCTAGAATATTATTTAAAATATGACAAACTCACAGCAAATAGAAATTTAAAATAGATCTTATTTGGTCATTCAAAAATGTTTCCTGGCATTAAAACTTCTTTTGGATTGTACACAGGGATTGTAAATGTTACACGATGAGGAAATTAAATAGGATATTCTCATTCAGGTTCTCCAAAACTCAAAATGTGAGAACCAGACAGCCTTCAGAGGAAGTTAAACACTCCCTTTGTAAACAATTAGAAACAGTTCCTCCAGTGAAACTTATATTCCATTGTGATAGATTTAAAAAAATATCCCTAGATTCGATTTCCTTCAAGGTAAAAAAAAAAAAAATCATTGTAATAAAAATTATTATCCAAACTCCTTCAATACATAATCCTGTACATTCCCAAACCCACATTTCACACCCACCATTATTACCGCACCAAAACACCTACAGCAACATGGGACACCTTCTTTCACAGACACTTAATATCAGCTCTTTTGGGGGCAACATCAGTGGCTTTCTCCCTCACTCTCATCTCATAAGCTTTTGGTGCTAAGGCAGTCTGCATGCTGGGAAAGCTGGAGGCGTTGTCGGATATCTAAGGCAGCTAATGAACTGAGAGCAACAACATTTTCCCACGCAGGGGGGGAACTGACAAACCTACCTGCAGTAAACCCACATCAAAAACAGGCCACAGAATGCTTTCAATTCTGTTTTCAGTCAACTGTCTTTTAGTGTCATTGTGGAGTGGCTAGGTTTGCCTCCATGTGGTGCAGAACAGGCTCTGTGTTGGGGGTGTCGGGGCGTTTGGAGTGGAGGGTGAATGTAGAAGTAGCTGGAGCAGATGGAGCTACTCAAAGGTCCAAACCTCCAGACTGTGGATGTTGAAGTCCTGCTGGGTGGAGAGCGGCTGGTTGTTGAAGGTGGCGCATTTTGTGGTGGTACCTCTGTACAGCTCAGCATCTAGCCACAGACCAATCTGGCCACTAAAGAAGGGACAAAGTTAGAAATCAGGGGGGGTTTCATGAGAATGAATAAAAAGATTTTGGTGTTTGCAGTGCAGCTGTTAAATCTACTCACCCTCCTCCTCCCATCTGCAGAGAATCAGTATATCCCTTCACAAAGTAAGAATTCTCCCCCGTCCAGCGGTACACCTGAATAAAAGACAGCAGGATTGGTCAGTAATGAAGCTAAAAAAAATTAAAAATCATCATGAGCTCTTTGAACCACTTAGAAAAACAAACCTTGATCTCAGGACAGAAGCTGTAGAGGAACGTCTCTCCTGTGCCGTAGCAGTGTTCGCTCACTCTGAACGGATGAGTGGAGAACGCTCCAAATAACTGTGATAAAAGTCAGATTCAAATTGTACCACCATTTACTGGAAACAAATCAACAACAATCATTAAACAGTTTCAGTCAGCAGCTAAAACCTCTGTGTGAACCAAACGTAAAAAGAACAATGTGGCAGAACAAGGCGGTAATAAAAGGAGGATTAAGGCCTTGAGTTGGTACAAAGGGCAGTTTCCTGATTCCTAAAAAGGAAACACAATTACATTTGTTTAACTATGAATGTAATGTGTGATGGTTAAGTCTTTCATTACATGCCTGTACTGTTTGGTTCTGATTCCTGCTTAGATTCTTCTGATTTAATTTACAAAATACATTTTCCAATGTCACTATCTCAAACTACTAGTACAGTGCTTCCCAAAGACACCTCAGGCCCTAAAATGTAGTTTTTCTATCAGCTGTGGTAGAAACTACAGATTTACTCAAATTGACACTTATCTGCATAAAATTATATATTCTGTAATACTGCCTTAAGAACAAAATGGAATTTACATGTTTAAAATGCAAACAAAAACAAACTAAACAAACTTGTGAATGAGAAGAGCGTGATGGTCTGTCGCTACGGTCTGTCAAGATTTTATCTGCTCTGATCTAACCGGTCTAACCGATTCTAACGTAGCTGAATAAAATGCAGATCATCCTTGCTTTTGTTTCACTGGTCATTAAAAGTGTAAAGTGTGTTAATCCCATTTTTAACTTCAGGTCTTCCATAAAGTATCTACCTGGTTGTCCATGTCTTTGATGACCAGCAGCACAGGATTGTCGACGTCTGCCAGGCTCCTGTACAGAGTCTTCAGGCTGGTCCCGTGTCTCACTGTGCTGTAGGCCAGTCTCCAGTGGTAACCCTGCACACGAGCTGGCAGGCGACAGGCAAGCTGGGGGGGTGAGGACAGTTAGATTATTAGTCCAGATCACGAGTTTCATAGATTTCTGTTCAGTTAGCATCTACCTGCAAGTCACTGATTCTAGTGAAAATTCACCTTCTCAATGTGTGTGTCCTGCAGCAGATCACTGCTGTCACAGAGTATGGGCAGAGCATCCACAGACAAGTCCCCGTCACAGCTGCCGAAACTCTGCCTGCGCTTTGCCTCATCAATAGTGATGATCTAAAGAGCGAAACAAGCCAAGTTGATGAGAGAAATCCTGGACAAGTAGACTTAACTGCCTGCGTAAAAACACACGGGAGTTAATATGAAACACGGCGCTCACCTCCCAGCTGCAGGATGCGGGGTCACTGAAGAAGTTGTCGATCATGTCCAGCTCGTCTTTCTCCACGACAACGAAGCCCTGCTCTCGAGCCTCCTTCCCGTACACATCTGGAGAAGACTGGACAAAAAACGCATACAGATGGTCCACCCTGCAATACAAACACACACACACACAGATAAAAGTTAGAGGCCCAAAGACATTGTATTATTATACATGAAATCCTTTGATTTGTTAAGTACACTTAAGAGTTGAGTGCTGCTCTACGGCTTCGACTGATGTCCAAAGAGAACCCTGATCAGAAGACCATCATCATGTTTATAGCGGTATTCTTTTATTACAAGAGCATCTGCATGTGTCTGTGTATATAACATTTATTTTCTCTTTGCTAAAAACCTCAAATCTCAAAAACTAGTGTCCCCCCCTGTTCTGTTATATCTAACCATCCCCCTCACCTCTCCTGCGGCACAGCAAACCAGTACTCTGGTTGTTTACCCCGCCCCCCAAACGAGAGGGCGGGACTGGAAGTCATCCCAGAGGCGAAGGACTTCCTCATTGGCTTTCCTACTTTGAAGCAGAGGAACATTGGTGGGATTTTACTTCTGTCCTCGGATGAGAGGAGCATGTCTGTCGAGGAAAACAAATCCAGAAAAGAGAGATTGGTAAGTATTCAATCACAAGAACTGCGGCACTCTACCTACAGGTTTTACTATGTAGTTGATGATCCCCTGCCTTCTATTGGAGCCTGCATCCTCTCAAGCAGCCAAGACTTCACTTCTGCCTCGTAGCTCTTCTTCCGTCTCTCCTCCTCGCTGAGTTCAGAGCCTCCTGCTTGTCTGTCTGGGTTTGGTCTGGTCAGGCTGAAGTCCCCACAAACCTCTGCAGCCTCCTCCCCCAGACTCAACCTCCTGCTTTGGTCCTCTGGTGCTGTGATTATTTTATCATGTGCACTGTTTAGCAGCTCTTCGGTCCCTTTAGGTTTCATATCTTTGGTTTTAGTTACCTCCCGACTTGTAGGTTTACCAAGTGGGTCACCCTGATTTGCGATCTCTAAAGAGGATTGTGTTGACTCGCCGTCCTCAACGGAGCTGTTCTGAGCCACGCCCTCGTCCTCTTCATCATCCAGCTTCCCTTTAGTTTGACAAAGCATTGACTTGCCCTGAGTGTCTCCTCGGCC